CCCGGGGCCTGTGCCCGTGTAATTTGCCCATGTAGTTTAGTCTCTAAGGAAGTTACACTCAGCACCCAAGAATGATGTTCAGAGAGAAAAGAGAGATTCTTTAGAGTGTCAACCAAACGACAGACTGTGCAGCTAACTGAGTGAATAAGGGCAAAAAGGAAAAAAAAAAGTTCTATAGAGAGTGTCAGCAGCTTCAATGAGTGGTACTTGCCTGACGCACCTGCTGAGATGGCTTCTGGGCTAGATCTGAGATCAGCGGCAAAGAGTGCCTTGGTCGATTAGTGATGTCTGCCATTGTGCACTGATCAATTACTGATGTCTGTCGTTGGTGCAGGAAAGGAAGGTGGCATGGGGGCAATAGATTTACCTTTCCCAGAAAGGGACTGCTACGGCTTTGCGGAGGATCAGATCAAGTACCAACCGCAGAACACTTCCTATGCTGCTGGTACCAGGCTCTTGACACTCAATGTTTCGATTAATGTTCATGACAGGACACCCCCTCATTTTTCAGATGAAACAACAGAACCTCAGAAAGGCAAAGTCACTTGCCCAAGGTGAAAAAAACTAGTCGGTGGTTAATCAGCTTTGAGAACTACTGTTAAATACATAAACTATTAGGTTGACCGATAGAAAGAAATGTCAATAGCAGAGCAATCCCGGAACCTTTTAATTAGCGTGTGAATGTATATATTTGGCCAGAGGGCTTTGTCTTGTCTGTCTCCATATGTCCAGTAATCAGGACACAACCAAGGCCCAGTGCTTATTTACTTAGAGCAGTGAGCAGGGCGGCTCCGTCTCCTGGGCGGGGTGGTTTAGGGAGTGAAGAGATTGGGCTATGCCTGTACAGTCGGAAAGCAATCTAGTTCAGTGCTTGGCACAAACTCGGTATACGATAAATATTTGTTGAGTGAACCCGTGCTCGAGGGCTTGGCTGGAGGGTGGGATTCAGAAGACAGGACAGAGACCTGCTTGGTAAAGGCAGGGCTCAAGGACCAGCCTGCCCCCTGCGGAGTCACCAGATGCCAAGCTAAGCGGACACATTTGATGGTCTCCGCAAACAAGGCTGAAGCAGGAGGAGGAGGAGGAAGCGGGTGTCCTGCACCAGGGGAGCTATTTCTGGCTCTGTGTCCTGCCAGCAGGATGCTGGGAGGCTGCGGGAGCCGTTGCTGCAGGGGTCCTGGAACTGGGAGCCAGGACCGCGCCAGCTTCCTCTGCCTGGAGCACCCCAAGGCCAGTGGGAGGGGGAAGGCAGCCAGGAGGGGTGGCTGGGGGAGCCAATCTCCTCTTACTACATCCTTTCCCAGCTGTGTGTAGCCTCTGCTGAGTGGGGGGAGTGAGTCATCTTATCTGCCGAGTTGGCTTGTGTATTTTTCAAGAATTTCAAATGATGAGATCACTGTAGGTGGGTAGACTTATTTTTACCATTTCACAGATGAGAAAACTAAGACTAATCGAGCTGTTTATAATAATAACGGCTAGAATAACCACGACAGCCACAGCAATGTAAGTTTGTTTGTTTTTTTTTTTGGTACGTGCCCCTTAGCAGGAACCGAACCTGGGACTCTCTGGTCCGCAGGCCGATGCTCCAACCGCTGAGCCAAACCGGCCAGGGCCACAGCAATGTAAGTTAGATGTTACGCTGAGCATTTCGTGTACACTAACTCATTAAAGCCTCATGGTGCCCTGTGAGACAGAAAATATGTTTATCTCGATTTTGCCGATGGGGAAACCGAGGTTCAGAGAGGTCAAAACGTCATCCAACCCAGTTCCATCTGATTTCAGAGCCTATACGCTTACCCTCCAACCTATCCCACCTTCTTGTCAATCAACTCATTCATTTATTAAGTAATAATTTGCATTTTTGTGTGGTGTTTTGCATTTCCCAAATGATTGTATGGGTATCTGAGCCTTTGAGCTGTGCTGTAGTACTATAAGGGAGGTGGAACAGATGTCCTTTTTTCTCCACATACTTGGACTCATAAAACGTGGTACGTGGCAAGTCCTCTCTGCTCTGCTCTGTACGGTATTTGGACAGCGCGTATGACGTGTGGTGCTTGGAAGAGCACAGCGGAGTAGCTTCTACACTGTACTGCACCTCACTTCCCCAAGCCTCAACTTCATCACCTCCAAAACAGGGGAAATGTCTGTCTTCTGAGGTTACCGTGAGCACTGGAGAGGATCATTTAGGAAAGAACCGCACACACCTGGCACATTGAAGCGGCATCTAGCTACCCCCCTTGGGGTCTGCCTTTTCCTAGCAGTGAGCAAACACTTCTCCTGTTGGTTCTCTTTAAGGACAGGAAGGAACCACTAGGAGGTGATTGGCTGCAGCTGGCCTGGTCATTCACGACTGAGGAGCCGCACAAGTTCATTCTTAGCATCCTCTCCTCCTCAGCCCCCCACCCAAGCAGTCTCTGGAAAGGGAGGGACTTGGACCCGGGAGCCACAACATCTCCACTATATTTAGCTACAGTGGCCCTGTGTTTCCAAGTCACTGGTCTTGTGTTGAAGACCTTGGCGCTGCTGGCGTCCACTTGGGCAAGACCAGAGCTTCTGCCAGGATTGGGCTCGACTGTTTCTAGGGGTGAGAGGCGCCTCTGGGGAAACAGAGGCAAAAGAACACATGTATTTACCGCTGGAACACAGACTCAGTGATTCCAAGTCATCCAGCCACGCACAGCCCTACCTGCGGGCTGTCCTTTTGCTTGTTCTGAGATTTCTTGGGAAACAGCTAGAGGTGGAGGCATTTTGCCAGAGCCTAAGCCAAGTGGAAGCTTAGCACTGTTCCTAGTCACGGAACTGTGACCAGTGGGGCACCTGGGAGGCAGCGCCGCTGGAGGACTGGAGATGTCCTGTCACCTCCATCTTCTTATGAACCCCTCAGACCCCTGGGGTCAATTCCCAGCACCCCTCTTCTCCGGGGAGCATGTTCTCTGACCGTAAGGGCGTGTCTGCTCGCTGCCTAGACCATTTGGACTGGACGAATACACGGGATAGGTGTCATCACAGAGGTCGCAGGTCATTAAACCAGAACAGTGTAGTGAGGGGAGACAAGATTGGCTCTGTCACAGATAAATCCTGGGACTGCAGTGGCTTAACGTGACCCCGTTACTTCTTGCTCATGTCTTAGTCCTGGTGGGTGGAAGGAGGGCTTGCCGTCCAAGGACCCCCCGCCGTGATGTGGCTTCAAGGTCATGTGGCATGATCCAGCCGAAGATGGAGAGGTCCCGCTCGCTCTTAGCTGCCGCAGCCTGGAAGTGACCTGACACTTCACTGGGGAAAGCTCGTCACAGGCCCCACGTGGGCACTAGAGGACTGGGGAGCGTGTCTCGCAGCGTGTCTGAGTGAAGAGGAAGTGTCAGCCTCTCTCGCGTGGAGGCGCTGTCTTTCACTCCTGGGATCACCTACTAGGCTGAGCGCCGGAGGCCTCTCTGATTCAGAGTTCTTTCTCCCTGTCCGGCCGGGGTGGCTCAGTGGTTGAGCACTGACCCATGCATCCAGAGGTCGCCGGTTCGATTCCCACACCCAGGTTGTGGGCCTGATCCCCAGTGGGGGCCATGCAGGAGGCAGCCAATCAATGTTCTCTCTCATCGATGTTTCTACCTCTTCTCTCACTTCCTCCCTCTGTAAAATCAATAAAGGAAAAAACATTTTTTTAAAAAAAGAAAACAAAGTTCTTTATCCATCTGAGAGGAAGCGGGCAGGAAAAATAACCGACGAATTATTGAGCTGTTATTATGGTCCAGGCATTGCGTTAAACTCTCCCCGTGCATCAGCAGTTTACTATGTTAACTCTGTCAAGTATATATTGTTATTCCCATTTCATAGTCAAGAAAAGCGTCAGCGAGTAGGAGTGATGGGTCAAGGTCACGGAGCTAGAAACTGCTGGAAGTGGGATTTGAACCTCCACTGAATTCTAAAGGCGGTGCACCGTCCCTGCCAAGTGCCACCTTCAGAGTGTTCTTGGAAGGACGACACGCACGGTGATAGACCAAGGGGTTAGCCCAGTGCCTGGCGCACCATTAATGCTTATTAAACAGGTTCCAAAAAGTAAAACGAGAAGAACTCAATGGTCAGAGTTTCTCTTCGGCCTCTGGGAAGCGATCTGCCCTGATTGCTTTTCCCTTTGCACATGGGCATCGAAGCACCGGCGTGTCCAGTAACATGTTAGTTGAGTGCATTCTACGTTCCGGAGCTGGCTGGCGCTGGACACTTAGGATATGACAATGAACTACACACAGTCCGAATCTCTCATGGATCCATCCTCCCCTAATTCTTGGAGATTCTGAGGAAGGACGCCAGGTGTTGTCAGAAGCTTGGGGTCTGATGGGCCAGTTGCGATGGGATGGAAACCAGTTGATTGGAAGGATCCGTTTGCCATTCGTGGGATGCACCGAGGCAGTAGGCAGGTGTAAGGGACTGTACTCTTTTTATTGAGATCTTTCAAGAAAGTTTTTCCTTTTCCTTGTAGTGGCAGAACCTTACCTCCACACCAGTTCGAGCCACCATAGACAATTATATTTCTCAATGATCCTAGACACTGTCATGGGCGCAGGGCTAGCATATGGGACTCAGAGAGCTGACCTCGGCCCTTCTCTGGGATGAGGTGCAAGGAAGGGGACTTCACTCGGCTCTGGTGGCGAGAAAGGCCAAGCTGGACAGGAATAGGGATAATAATAGTAACGCCCCACATCCACTGAATGTTTATCCAATGCCAGGCACTGTGCTGAGCACTGTATGTAAATTATACTGCTTAATCCTCACGAGCACCCGAAGGTGGGTACATTTTCATCACCCTCATTTTGCAGTGGGGAAACCAGGAGCTCAGAGAAGAGCCAGCCCTCCGTCAGTCATACAGCCAGCAGACAATGAAGCAGGGATTTGGATCCCAGGCCCCTAACCACTACACAACACTGCTACCCAGCACCTCTGCAGAGCTACAGCTGCACCCCAGGGAGGGAGGTGATGAGGGAACATTTTGTTAGGTTTAGGGTACGGCCTGCGGTCAAGGACCAGGGGTGAGCGGATTGAACCCATCCACCCACTTGGGCTGCAGTCCCGGCTCTCCTTACCCCCCAACAGTAGTGTCATCCAATCAGAGCCCTAAACGGCCTGGCTCTGTACCCTCACAGTGTCCAGCCCGTCCTGAGCTCCAGTCCCCAGGGTTCTGTGGCAAACTTCATTCTTCATTTTCTCAGGGACATGCTGAAAAACATGAAGTCAGCAATTGTGTAAATCGCTGACCATCAAAAATGTATGTGTATATATATATCGGTTTCTATTTCCCCTACTTGCCTTCCCTCAGGGGTTTGGGAGTGTTCGGCAGGCAAGCTGGTAGAGGTTATGAGGGGAGGTCACCACTAAAATGAGATGAACTTCTATGCGTGGATGTCTGTGTGTGGCTAAGACGGCATTCCCAGCAGAGCCCCGGAAGGAAGCCCCTCTTAATGGGTAGCAAAAAGATCGGAGGGACACTGGACCATCCCTGTCCTCCCAAGTCCCCTCCGGGCTTGCTGTAATGGCCTGAGTCGGTCACTTTCACAGACATTCTGCCCTTTCACATCTCAGTGGGACATTTGAACCTCTCAGCCAGGTGGCCCCAAAGTCCCCCTAAAGAAACCATCATAGAGAAAGCACTGAACATTCTGTTCTCTCTATAGATGATGCTATTACGAAACTATCATCATACGAGGCAGCAATCAGAATATGCAAAAAATCTGTGGGGTAAAGTGTGATGGTAGTATGTCAGGCATATAAATATATATATATATATATATATATATATATATATATATATATATATATATATATATCTAACAGTGTAAGCTTCAGGCCTCCCCTTGGTCATGTCCCTGGTTCTAAGACTGAGATCATAAGATTCTATGGTTTTTATGTTCCGTGAAGCCAGGGTTTGTCATCAGTTGAGCCTTTTGGTGTTATTCTCACCTCCCCTGGGATGTTGTCCATTAGGACTTTTGATTCCTAGACTTTGCGATCCTAAAAGTACCAGGATGGTGAATCCCAAGAGAGTCCGCCGAGCGCTGCCATTTCCGACAGCAGCTGCCCACCAGGGGCGGGGGCGCAGCTCTGGGGGAGGCCAACTTTGTGTCGGTTTCTACCTTCATCCCGTCTCTGTTTTTTCCGTCCTGCAGCTCACAGATCTGATGGGAGAACTAGGCAGGTCAGGGTCAGCAGGGGCTCCACCCTTATTTACAGGCAAGGACACGGGCCATTGTATGGCAGCCCCTGGTCCAAACCTGCCCAGCAAGTCCGCCTACCGCCAGGGCTCCACCCAGTGAGGAGACTCCCTTCCCTCTAGCAGTCCCCCCCCCAGAAGGCACTTGGCTTCCTGCTGAGAGGAAGTGGGGTTCCCCCCCAGAGAAGGTGCTTGGCTTCCCACTGAGAGGAAGTGGGGTCCCCCCCCAGAGAAGGCACTTGGCTTCTCCGTGAGAGGAAGTGGGGTCCCCCCCAGGGAAGGCACTTGGCTTCCCGCTGAGAGGAAGTGGGGGATGCTTTCAAAGGCCCAGCGAAGATGGTTTCCAGAGCCTCAAAAATACAGATGTCCCAGTTCCCCCCTAGCCACAGCCTCTCCTTCCAGGACCCGTTTCCTTTGTTCCCTGGGCGGCACCCCAGGCTCCCCCTCCTTTATGATTTCACTGTATTTCGAAGCACCCAACTGGTTTACCCAGAGAAGCACTGCTAGCAGGTCTGAGTCCCCTTGACTGCGGAGTCCCCGGGTTGCAGCCTAACTGGAAAGAAACATCAGAAAAGCTTAGCAACAGCCTCTCCTGGCTCAGGCTCCCCAAACTCCAGCAGACCCAGGGAAGAGGACACGGGCCTCCCTGCTGGAATTCCCAGCTCAAAGCTCTGTCCTGAGCCTGGAGAGGGTGGATCCCAGTCAGTTAAAGCTGAAGGGGCTCCATTGTACAGATGGAGAAACAGAGTCCCAGAGCTCTTCTGAGATGATATATGGACTAGTCCCCGGGGACAGTGTAGTGTGGTCATTTCCAAACTTGGCTGCATGGTAGAACCACTGGAGGGGGGGAGTTGTTCCTTAAAAAATACTGATGCCTGGGCTGCAGGTCCAGACATTCTGATGTAATTGATAGAAGGTGATATCTGGGCATCGTGATTTTTTTAAAAACACTTAGGTGATTATGATGGGCTATGATGACTGGGAACCTCTCTCATGGTGGTGAAGGGACAGAGAGATCTGTATTTGAATCTTGGGAGGTCTATATTCGAATCTAACTCCACTGTTTTATAACTGGGTCCTTGAGCAAGAGATTTCATTCCTGTGAGCCTGTCTCTTTCATTTGTTAAACTGGCACCAGTGATAGTATCTTATCTACCTCGTGTAGGGTCAAAGTGGGAATGAAATGAGATGATAGACATTAAGCACTTAAAGCAGGGCCTAGCTTGTTGTAAGTGACCAGTACACGTTGGTTTTATTATTGTTATGGCTATTTTATTACTAATATATGTCCTCATCCCAAGGCCCCAGGTTGGGAAATGGAGGATCGGATCCAAGTCTGTTGAGGAATGAATTAGTCTTCAGGAGAATCATTCTCTTGTTTTGGCTGTTCTGACAGCAAACGAGCTGTGTGACCTTGGGCAAACCTCCTAACCTCTCTGAGCGGAGTGGCCTCATGTTGTCAGATGGGTCTCACAGGCTCTGGCCGTCGACTGTCCAGGGGAGTTGTGAGCTTCCGCTGAGAGAGGGGATCGGAACCAGCTTTGGAGACGGGCACCGCTCCGGAGGAATTTGAGAGATTATGATTATGATGGCCATTTCAGCCCCCTCACTCCCTGGCTGGCCCATCTGTTCTGGGAGCTTTTGGGTCTCTTTCTGCCTCCTTTGGCCAGCAGTCCTGGGCTGCTCAGGGTAACATTTGGGCAGTTTCCAGGGAGGATCCTGTCCCTCCTCCGTCTGTCCAGTTAACTCTTTCCTCTGTCCTTTGGTCTACCGGGACCAATATTGGACCCCAGAATGTGTTATGATGGGGTATGAGAAGAGATACCTTCTTCTTTGTCTGGAGTTGGGAATGACCAGAGGTCTTGGATTTCTCATACAGGAGAGTTGGGAGGCCCCTGAAATCTAGATAGGCCTCAGCTTCCTGGACCCCAGTGAGTGCTCTCCTGCCCCATCCCCAGCCCCCACTGCCCTGCACTGTTGGGGATGGGCTGTAGGATGCAGGCCTCTAGCCTGCACCTTCCCTGGAGGAGTTGGTGCCTGTGGGGGAGTAGCAGGGCATGTGGGGTTGCTGCCTCCCAAGGAGAATGTGTCCTTGCCCAAGTCATCTGGCTCCTCCGAGACTCCTCAGCTCTCCCATGGGAAACACACCACCTCACCTACTGGTCGAATGAGACCATAAGGGAGAAAGTTTGTAACCTCTGTCGCCGCGATGCCGATGCTGCTGCTGGGGGTGGGAAGGGCGATGGGAGGAATCTGCCAGGCCGGATCCCCTGGCCAGAGACGGAAGCCAGGCCCAGGCATCTGGGCTGTCCCTGAGCTGTGCGGGCTGGGAGGAGCCCGGAGAAGGCAGGGCCTGCCTGGGATTGGCAGCTGCTGGCCTGCTGGCAGATGGTCTCCTAAGTGGGCCACCCCAGGGTCAGCTTTATGGGTTTGCACATTAACCCTTCCCTCCCCAGCAGGCCTCAGATGCTGGTTCTTTATGACTTTGAGCGGACCCGAGAGCCACCGGCCTCTCACCGGGCTGTGGACGAGACCCTGGTCACATCTTGCCATTCCCCTCGCCACCCCAAGAGACAAGCCAGCCCTCGAGTGTGGGGGGCGCTTTGTAGTACGTGGAGCCAGACTCTTTGGACCCTCACAACACTTAGGCAGGGCTGATGACAGAACACCCTGTAAATATTTGTCATTTGTATAAATACTAATTTTTATAAATATTGTCACACACAAAAATATCACTGCACCAGATAACAACCACTGTGAATATTATATTATACATTTTTTATTTCAGGCTTTCCTCTGTAATTTAACAATATAGTCTGAGTATCTTCCCATATTAGCAAATATCTGTCTATCTTATTATTTTTAACGCCTACATAGTATTCCATTACAGGCGTGTATCAAAAGAAACGTTGGATGACATCACAGGATAGAGGAGTAAACAAATTCAGAGAGGTTTTGTGACTTGCCCAAGGTCACACAGCTTGTACATGAAGAGGCTGAACTTGAATTTTGAAATTCAGGTCTCTTTTTTAGCAGTGAGTGGTTAAGAGTTCTATGCTCTAAACCAACATAGACCCAACCTCAGTCCCAGGGGGAGTCCAGACCAGCCCTGCTGCTGATTGGTTGGCTCAGTCTTGTCTCTATTGGCTGTGTGACTACAGGCAGCCTCACTGCCCTCCTGAGCCTCAATTTCTTCATCCATAAAATCAAGGCTCTTAAGATTTAGCTTATCAGGCCACTGGGGGGATTTAATTAGATAAGAAATCATCTGCCTAATATGTGGTCCATAGTGGGTGCCGGGCAATGAGGCTAATACTAGTCCATCGCTGTTAAAGTTTCTGGTATTATTACTTATAAGAATACCAATATTATTATTAATATAATCTAACAGCTGTTAGCATTATTTAATATCTAATCTTATCTAGTGTTAGCCACTATCTAATTACATTAATCCTCTCATTGTAATATTAGCCCCAGTCACGGGACTGTAAGACTTCCAACAAATCCCTTCTCCTCCCTGGGCCTCAGTTTACCCGTCTGAAAGCGAGGTGCTGCCCTTGGTGGTTTCTAAGGGTATTTCTTCTCTTCCCAAATAGCTCCCTGGGAGGAGGCATGTTAACCCCATGTGGGTTGTGGGCTGGCCTGGCCCCCTTCCTCCATCACCGCTCTCTCCCCTCCCCCACCAGCCGGGAGCCAATTGGCTGCCCTTCCCCCACCAGCTTTCCGGGGGCCTTTGACACTAATTGATACGGAGTTTCCCCCTCTAATCCTGCCTCTGCCTCGGGGCCCTTGTTTCTAGGGCATCTGCTGGGTGAGAGGAGGAGGAGGCAGGGCCTACCGCCACCCGCCTGTCTGCCATCTGGTCCCCTTCCCCTCCCTCCTCTCAGCGCCACCGAGAAAAATCTGTAATGAATCCGTGCCCCGCCCGCGGGGTGGGGGTGAGAGCAGGCGCACACTGGCCGCGCGCACGCGTGCACACACACACACACGCACACGCACGCACACACACGCACACACACGCACGCACAGGTTGTAGACACAATTACTTGCGAAGCTTTTGTGCGGCAGCCCTCGCAGGCCCGCTGCACCCGACAGCTGCTGGGAGGGCTCAGGAGCGAGAGGCGAACAGAAGGGAACTTGAATTATCCTGCGGACGCATCTTGGGCAGCCCGGGGGACTGAGGCTGTGGGAAAGGGGGTGCGGCTGGGAGAGCCGGGCAAGGCGGGGATGGGACCCACTAGCTTAAGGGGAGAGTGACAGGAAAGCCACAGCACTCCCAGCCTCAGAGGGCCAGGCCTCAAAACCAGGGGCTGAAGAAAAGATTTGGGAAGTTAGTTTTCTTCTACCCCGAATCCACCAGCCCTGCACGACTTCCTCTCACTCAGCCATCGGGGTGTCAAGAGCAGGACTTTGGGGTCTACGCCCCTGGAGCCTAATTCGCCTCTGCTCCTTGCTGGCTGTGTGACCTCGAGCCAACTACTTCACCTCTCTGAGCATTGAGGTTCATCTGAGTAGACTAGAGTAATATCTCCTCACCAGGTTGAATCGGATACGGTCATTCATGCAAAGACATGTTTATTGAGTGCCTGCTGTATACCGGGCAGACTGGGGGAGGTACAGATAAAAAACAAGAAAACCGACTAATAAAAAAATTGTGGCTAGGACCCAAATACTAATTGCTTCAAGCAACTTTTTCAGATGCTTCTCTTTCTGCTCAGGTCAGAACAATTTTCCCCCCCTTCTGTCTCAGTTCCTGAGCTCGTGTGGGGCATGGCCATGCCTGTGTGTTCTCATGTTTCGTGACTGTCCGCCAGTGGGAGCAGATTTTCTCTGTATCAGATCAGCTTCAAGCTCAGCACCCGGCATGTAGTAGGTGCTCAGGAAATGTTTTCTGAGCTGAGTCACTCAGACACTTTACCTATAATGAGTGATTGGGGTTGAGAAGCACCAGCCCTTCCATGGGAGGCCAAAGAAGGGCTTATCCACTTTAAAAGTCACGAATTCTTCGCTGTGGGACTGTTTTGTGGGCTGAGGCTGTACACAAACAGTTGCCGAGAGTGTCATTGCTGAAGAAGGGGAGCCGGGAATTGGATGTTTAGCTTTACCTCTGTGGCTTAAGTATTTAACGAGAATGTTTTCATAAATTACAGTTTCCCCTGTATGAGTTATATATGTAAACATTTTTTTAAAAGATTAGGTGGAGGACTCAGAAGTAGTAACTCCTGCCTTCCCGAGGGATTAGGGAGGGCAGAGTTGCCCATTCTGGAGCGCGGATTAGAGTCTCAGTCGGCTGGGCTATAAAATAGGGAGACTAGCGCCTCCTGCAGGTGGGCCCTTGTCAGTCTTGGCAACTTGGTGCAAATGGCCAAATGGACAGATCTGATTTCAAATCCCAACCTGGGCATTCTTGGTCAGGCCACTTCCCCTTCCTAAGCTCCTTCCTCATCTCTAGAAGGGGGCGGGGGGTGCTGATCATAACCCCCTCCTAGGTTAGACTTGAGGATTACATAAACAACAAAGCACTCAGCGGCGTCCGGATGTGGTCACGTGCTCAGTAAATGGTAGCTAGGATGCTTTTGGTGGCAATGCTTGTAAATTGTACATTAGTCAATGTCCTGATCTAAGCCAATAGTATTCACATGGGGAAGAGGGTCGGAGTTTTTCTTTTTCACGTCCCTGGAAGGCCAGCTGTCCGCCCCAAAGGGGACGGGCACCCTTCATTTATGAAGCAAGCGTTTCCCTGTGCTCACTATGGATCAGGATAAATCACACACAGAGCCCGCCCTCCGGGAGCTCCAGTTCTCCATCATCACCTGGCATCTGAGCCGGGGACTCTTCCGGGTGTCTTCTCATCAGCGTTCCCGTGACACAATTCCCAGGAAGACATCCCTGACCGAGCAGCCTTCCTCGGAGACAAAGCTTTCCCTGACCCGTTCTCCCTACTCATCTTCCTGTCCGCCGTCAGCCCTTCCCACGTTGGGAATGAAATTGGTAACAATCTTCAGAACAACATTTTTTCTTATTCTTGATGTTTTTCAACTTGTCTATCCCCCCTTTTTTAATCAACCAGGGGACTCTCCCAGAATGATCTTTGTCTGCTACTGCGGCCCTCTGTTCTTGTTCATTTGCAGTCCTGTGTACTCAGCCAATTCTTCCTTCAACCACGGTGGCCTCCATGGTTGCTGCTTAAGCCGCCGTTCTTGGCAATTTCTCTGCAAAGACCCCGCCAAGTTCCCCCATTGTTGTTGTCAGTTGCTTCTCACTTAGGTGCCTCGGCATTTCCAGTTTTCTTGTCTCTATTGATAATACCTCCCCTGCCTCGTGATGGCCTCTGCTGACATTTGTCATGTCTCCATTTACTCCCACCCGAGACAGAGACTGACCCAATTACCTTCTCCACATCAGTGGAGGTGGGAGAGAAAACAGGTGCTTTACATCAGCCAGGGAGGTGAGGCGTTGCCTGCAGCAGCCACAGGTGGACCCGACAGAAGGCTGGGTGAAAATTGGATTGCCCTCTGACATCGCCGGGTTCACCTTCATGGTGGGGAGGCAGCGTTATTATTTCTTTAACTCGGTGACACGATCTTGAAAAGAATTACATTGATGTTTACACATGACTTACAAACAAGATACATCTTGGAGCCAAACAGCCCAGCTGTTTGCGTCTCTGGACCAGTTTGCCCCTCTGGTCGCGCGAAGAACATCAGCAGTGACAACACCACCAGCAAACCCACAGCACCTCTAGTTCAGTGATGAGAAAACCAGGCCCAGAGAGGTCAAGGAATTAACCCCATGTAGCACAGGCACAAAGAGAACAGGAGCTGGGGTGAGGACTCGGATGTTCTAAATTCTAGACTTCGAGTCCAGTACTGAATCAGCCACTTTCTGCCACGTATTTTGAAAACCAGTGTTAATCATAAAAGCAACACGTGGTCATGGTTGGTCTAAAGCACCGCAGAAGTATTCAGAAGTGAAAGTCTCTTCGTCTTCTCTGTCTCTCCCGATAGAGGAGACCTGCTTTCTTATTCGTTCTTCCGGAAACGCGCCATCCAAAAGCACATACACTCGCCTTTTCTTCTTAAATTTGTACCTTGGGTTTTTAATATATTACTATACTTAGAGCTGCCCTGTTCCTTTTTTAAAATAGCTGCACTGTATTGCATTGTACAGCTGTATCATTCCTTATTTATCAGTGTTCTATTGATTCGCAAGCAGGTTGCGTTCAGGGTTTTCGCTGTAACAAAACCACAATAAGCA